CAGGGCAGGCAGGCAGTGAGGGCAGCGGGAGCCGCGCAGGGCAGGCAGGCAGTGAGGCCGGCTGAGCCGCGCAGGGCAGGGCCACCGCTGCCCTTGTGCAGCACCAGGGTCACCTGTCAGGGAAAAGCAACTTGTTTTCCCCTACTTTATTTAAAATCCTGACGCTAGTTTTAAATAAGTGAACTCTGACCTCCCTAAACATAAATGTGAAGCAGGAGCCGCTCCCCAGCCCTGATTGCATGCCGTGTGCAGGTCCGTGGCGCTGTACGACTGCCGGAGTCCAGAAGAGACCCACCGTGTGTGGCGCTTCAGTGGGCAGATCGAGAGGGTGACATGGAACCCCTTTTCCCCTTGTCATTTCCTGGTAAGAATGCTATTCTAGGTTCCTGACACCTCACTTTCCCAATTCCATGCAGCAGGAGGCCCTGCAGTCCTTTTCCTATGTGGATAGTGTTTTGCATGTCTGGAATTTATTTCTGCAGAGGAGCGTGATTTGCTTTAAGACAGTGGCTCGGGCTGGGGATGTGGCTCGGTGGCACAGCGCCTGCCTAGCAAGCGTGAGGCCCCGAGTTCGATTCCCGGTACCAAAAAAGAAAATAGTAAAAATAAGACCAAAAAAAAAAGGCAGTGGCTTAGCCACACACACACACACACACACACACACACACACACACACACAAATGGTGGCTCCTATGATTCTGCTGCCAGCCAGCCACGCCAGACTCTGCCACGCCTTGTTCACTCACTGCCATTCTGTGAGCCTCATTGGAGATGCCAGGTGCAGCCACTGTGCTTTTTCACGTGCCACACCTGGGTGGTGTGGCCTGTCCCGGGGCAACCCCCTCTCTCTAGGTCTTCCTCTCAGGACCACGTGAACCTGGTCAGCGTGTAGCAGGGCCTCCACCTGAGAAAGGCCCAGAGCTTTCTAGACACACTCGTGGAGCCTGCTGGGTGTCAGTTTTCCTCGAGCACCCCGAGACTCACAGATGGCAGCGCAGGAGAAATTATGTGCCACCTTCCGTCCGGGGTCCAGGGGTCCTGGGGGGTGCCCGCAAAGCCGGCAGTGTTGGCAGTCTCCTGACAGTGAGCTCCAGGTACAGGAAGTGGCCAGCAGTGCCTGAGCTGGGCCTCGTGTGCTCGGAGGAGGGTGCAGCTGCTGCGAGGGCCGTGCGGTCCTGGCTCTCAAGTCGGACCACACTCCTGCCGTGACTCGCTGACAGTGGTCACAGAAAAGCCACAGACCTGAGGACTTGGGGGTGTGAGCGGTCTCCTTCCTCCTGAACCGCCATCTGCCTGACCTGTAGCCCACTCCACCCTGACCGCCGCAGCTTGCAGACTGATGGACCCAGGGCAGAGCTGGGCTGCCGAGCAGAAGCGACCCCGGTGACAGAACAGAGGTCACGGGATGAGTGCCACGGGAGTCCCAGGGAGCTGGCCGCTTGCCACCGTGACGCCAGCGTCCCAGACAGTGATCTCGCCTCTCTTCTAGGCCAGCACTGATGACGGCTTTGTGTACAATTTGGACGCGAGGTCAGATAAGCCGGTGTTCACACTCAACGCGCACAATGATGAGATCTCCGGTGAGCTCGAGCGCTACTCCCCTCCCCGTGGAAGCGCGAGGCGCAGTGAGTCTGAGCCTGTTCCTCCCCAGGGCTTGAGCTGAGCAGTCAGATCAGGGGCTGCCTGGTGACCGCGTCAGCAGACAAGTATGTGAAGATCTGGGACATCCTCGGGGACAGGCCGAGTCTCGTCCACTCGCGGGACATGAAGATGGTGAGGGCCCTGCGCCGTCTCTTCTTGTGTGTGTGGTCACCCGGCACTGCTCGTCTTTGCTAGCAGTCCCTGCTATAAGGATCATGGATGCTGAAGGCACTTAACTGGGGCTAGTCAGATTTGGTGACATGTTGTGAGCTCTGTCTCCATTTCCAGGGTACGTGATTTGACGGTCACTTGGTGAGATCATGACGGTTGGAGGAGGACAGGAGAAAGGGCCACATTCTGCCTGACAGTCAGGACCACTGCAGGAGCTCTTGGGCCTTAGGGAGCCAGAGCTATTGGGGCCAAGTATTCTGTGTTGTGACTTCGTTATGTCACTGGTTCTGACTGAGTTGATTACAACATGTGTCCTGGCACAATTTAGCAATACCTGGGATTCTCCCAGCAAATTCTCAGCACCTGCTTTACGTCAGGCACTGTGTTGCTTAAGTTAGATTGTAGCTATGGTAGAGCATGGCTGGGAAAAGCGTGTGTGCGTATTTAGTTATGGGAAAGTGAGCTATGGAAGTTATCTTTATTATAATACTTGCCCACGCGTATAGTTAAGCCCCCAAACATAAACTGGTTGTCTCACTGAGGCTTCTGTTGCCCCGTTCATACCTTCTACAATATACCCGTGTACCCAGTAATGAAAACATTAAAGGATTTCTAGTGGCCAAGGGATAGGCTGTGGCCTGGGGTAAAGCCTTTCTGGCACCTGTGAGGCCCTGGGATTGCACTCAGCAGTGTAACAACCTACTAGAGACCTGTGGTGTCACTGCTGCTGTGGAGAAGGAGCCCCGCAGCTTCTGGACACAGCAAGGCGATTTCGAAGAGCACTTTGACGTTGGAGACCTGCGTGTTCAGAGCACGCGCACCTCCACGGGCACAGCTGGCTCGCGAGCCGTCCTGCCACGTCGCTCTCCGCCCCTGACCGCAGCGCCCTGGCGTTTGGAATCATCCACACCGGAAGTTCCTAGAGAGCAGGTAGTGCCTGCAGCTCCCTGGAAGGGTGGAAATGACTGGCCCTGTCCTCTCCGCAGGGTGTTCTCTTCTGTTCCTCGTGTTGCCCTGATTTGCCACTCGTGTACGCCTTTGGGGGTCAGAAGGAAGGCCTCCGGGTCTGGGACTTCAGCACCGTCTCTTCAGGTGAGGCCTGTTTCCCGCTCCTGCTGGAGAAGCTCGGGATGCTAGTGCGGCGTGGAGACCGACAGGGCGCAGCAAGCAGGGCAGACACAGCCGCCCCGTGGTGGGCGCCGTGCCCAGGAGCCCAGTGCAAGCTGTTGTCACACTTCAGGTGTAGGTGAAAAGGGCCAGGTCTTCTAGGAGGCTACAAGGAAGCGTAGTAGGTCTCGGAGCAGAGCCCTGCCCTCTCCGTGACTGGGAATGAACCTGGCCTTTGCTCCGCTGCTGTCTGCAAACTCTGCTTGCCTGTCTGCAGGAGCTCCTGCTCGGTGGTGGTGGTGAACCCTGTAGGCTTTCTGCGGCAACTTGCCACCAGTTCACCACCTCTGGCCTAGCTCCTGTCTGTGTTGTGGGGCAAGTTTGGTGTCCTATGAACAGAGAAAATGTCCCTGCTGTGATTACTGAATCCCATCCCCGCAGGAGGGTCCTGAGGTTTCCCCCGGGTGGCTCGCAGGTTAACTTGTATGCGAAAGCCACAAATCCAGGAAGTTGTACCCTGGTTGATTCTGGGCAAGATGGAAGAAGACAGAAAAGAGTCAAAGTGTGGTGAGGAACGGGCAGGCAGTGGCTTGGGGTGGAGCGTCTGTTACTGAGGCCTGCTAGATAAAGCCAGGACGAGCAAGGCAGGTGCCAGCGACGTGGACCGTTAGAAAAACCATTCAGCTCATTAACTTAGGCTTCCAACTTGGTTGCTTTCCCACTTATAAAATGTTCAATATGTTTTCATAAACTTTCCACCCTAACAACTCTCTCACTGTTCAGTAAATGAAGCATTCGGGAGACGAGAGCGGCTGGTCGTGGGCAGCTCGAGAAGCTCAGCTGGTGGCGGCCCTTTGCAGGGCAGGAGCGTACAGACCCCGATGGAGTCCTAGCGAGGCGCACGCCGCCTCAGTCTGTGTCCCTGACTGGGGCTGTGGAGGGCGGCTCCTTCTCCCTGGCTGCTGTCCCCTCTGCAGCTGGGCGCGGACACCCGGCCTTCGCACTCGCCCATGTGGGTGCTGTTGGGTCCTGTGTTCCTTGAAAAATGTTTTTAAACTGCTGCCTTCTTTAACATCCTGTCACAATAAATCTAGGTTTTTAAAGTAGGTAACAACCTATAAAAATTCTTTTTATTTTTTTGGAAACAGTTACTGTCTTGCCCAGGTTGGCTTCGAACCCCTCACCCAAGTAATGCTGCCTCAGCCTCCTGAGTGGCTGGACTCCCAGGTGTGTCACCACACAGGCTTCAGAATTTAAGAAGGGAAAATCCTGTGATCATAAACAGTGTGTAGGGGCTGGTGAGATGGCTCAGTGGTCTAAAGCACCTACTTAGAACAAACAAGCTTAGCAAAGCACAGGGACCGCAGTTCAATCCTCCAGCACCACATGCCAGCCAGCCCCGCCCACTGGTGGGCTGAGCTGGCCACACACACACACACACACACATAAAATAAAATTAAAAAAATAAATAAATAAATAAAAAACACTGTAAAACCATGCTCGGAGGTGGGGACTGGAGAACAAGAGCAGAGGTGGGCACCTCATAGACGCCTCTTTCCTGACAGTTCTCAGGTTAATGCTCATGATTTTAAATGTTCTCAGTGGGCACGTTTACAGTGCAATAAATAATGTCAAAGGGCCGCACCTTTTCTCCCCAGCACAGCCCGAAGGCCTGCTGTGCCTAGTGCTAGGCAGGGAGGGGAGATGGTCCGAGTCTCGCTCTCCACTTGGTGCATCGGCCCTGGCTGCAGTGTCCTCCTGCTGCAGGTGACTGTGAAGGGGCAGCAGAAGCAGTCTGACCTGGGACCAACCCTAGCCGTTAAGAATGCTGCCCCAGGTCAGACAACTGGTATGACGGGCTTGCGACTTGGGGCTACCACAGGCAGCATATTGAAGGATGGCGTACAACAGAGTCCTTGGTCTGGTTTGCCATTTGGTCAGATACCGAAGTAAGCTCTAGATTGGGGGTCCCGAGCCCCAAGCCTTAGGCCAGCACCCATCCCCGCCCTGTGAAGAACTGGGCTGTACCACGCCAGTGGCTTCGGCTGCCGCGCCTGCCCCCCGCTGAGCGCCACCTCCCAGTTAGGCCCTCAGGTGCGGGAAGCCTGTGTGCGGTAACCGCAGGCGAGGATGGAGCCCACACGTACCTGTGAGGATCCAATGTAACTAGAAAGAAAGTGCACAGTGAGTACACTGCTGTGAGTCACCCCAAATGCCACCACTGCTCCCCAACGCCGTGTCCTGGACAGACTTCCGCAGAACTGGGCTGGTACCAAAAAGGAACCAGCGTTCTAGATGATTCAGTGGCAACAAAAAATGGTAGTAATGGAGTCGGCCAGTGGGGAGAAGCCCACGATCGGGTGGCGTGACTGCAGAACAGGGCCGGGCTTGAGGAACACTGGTGTTTCCCTAACAGGTCCAAAAGGGAGACTTTCCCATTCTGTCGTAACATCACCCGGTGACCAAATCTAAGAAACAAAACAGGCAAACTACAGACCAGTATCCTGATGAACTACACACAAAAATCCCTCCAGACACTAGCAGATTGAATTCAGCAGCCTCATCAAGGTGCTTTCACTCCAGAGATGCAAAGATGGCTCAACGTACGCAGTTCAAGACAAGACAGAAGTGCGAAGGAGGACAAAATGTGATCATCCCAATAGATACAGGAAGCAGCTAAATAATCCTCACCTTCCCTTCATGATAAAAGCCCTGGACCTCCTGGGGACAGGAGGCTTAGGCCACAGCAAAGGCGGAACGGCTGCCGTGGTGATGACTACCAGCAACACCCTTGAAGAGGGAAACAGCATTCTCAAGAGATGGGGACAGGGATGTCACAGCTCAGTACACAGCTGGAACTGTAACCACAGCAACTAAAGGAGGAACCCGAATTACCCTGCTTGCACGATTCTGTATGCACAGAAATGCGTGGCGATCCCACCGAAGACAAAACTCGGTGAGTTCTACGTAGGATAAGAAGCGTACCAAAGGTGAGTATTTTCTGTGAACTGATGGGATGCTGCAGAAGGTCGTAAATGCAGTCCCGCGTCCAACAGCTGTACAAAATGCTCGTTGGAAGAAACTGAAGACCCCAGAAGGGGGAAACCCCACATTCACGGGCTGGAAGACTAAATTACGGTTAAGATGAGCCTACTCAAAGCAATCTGCAGATTCGCTGCAACCGGCATCCAAATGCCACTGGTGGTCTACAGAGAACTAGGAAAAATTCCCGTTCTTGTGGGAAACGAATCCAGCGGTTGAGTGGCCTGGGCTGCTCCCCTCTTGCATAAGCGCGTCGTGTGCGCGCTGCAGCCTGCACATGGGAAGGCCCCCGCCGCGCTTCCTCTTCTAAGCCTGGCTAGCCAGGGACTTGGACAAGACCCTAGGGACATGCTAGCTCCTCTGCCTGACGCCAGCCATCTCTAGCCAGTTACATGCAACAGCTTACAAAGGTGTTCCCTGCCTAAGAACGAGCCTCACCTGCCATGCAAGTGTGCGCTGGCGGCGGCGGACGCAGCAGGGCAGGGCTGAGCAGAGGTGCAGCAGGTGCGGTGCCGCAGCGCTCTGCGCCTCCAGTCTCGACGGCACTCCAGGCAGCACTCAGCAGGCCAAGAGGGCATAAGATTGAGCTTTCTGAACTTGATTTCTAACACTAGAAAACCAGAATCTAATATGCTGTAAGAACTAACCAGATGATAAACTGAAGTGCACAACCACTAGGACGTGTCTGAAGGCAGTGCCCATGCAGCACTGGCTGAAGCAGCCGTGCCACTTTTACCGTGACAGCCACCTCGGGCTCCACTTTCCCAGAGCAGACTCTTCTTTCCCTGTCTACCTTAAAGCTCACATCCCGCTTGACCTCAGCTGTAGAAAAAGACATAACCAATGAACAGAAAACAAAATACATGGCCCAGGTGCACTGGCTCGCAGGAACACGTAGGCTTCGTGAAATGGAGGGTACACTTGGTGTGGCCTTGCAGCCCAGGGTGTGAGGCAGCCTCCCGCTGCTGAGGCAGAGCACCTGAGATGACCAGTGCTGAGGGAGGAAACATGGTCTTCGCTCGTGGTCTCTGAGGTGCTGTGCTGCCCTGGCTGGTGGAGAGCCACATGTCACCAGGACAGCGCACAGTAGAGGTGCAGGGAAGGCTCCTCCCGGGTCTCCTTCCAGGACATGTCCCAGTGATCTGATCTGCCGCCAGGCCCTGCCACCTCCCAGGAGCACCAAGGACTGGGCCCAAGCCTTCAACATGTGGCCCTTGGGGACATTCAAGATTCAAGCCACAGCACCCATGGGGCCAGGGAGATAGCTCAGCGGTTCAAGCACCTGCCAGGCCAGTGCAAGGACCCAGGTTTGATCCCCAGTACTGCATGCTGTGCCAGCCACCCAAACTGGGCATGGTGGCCCATGCCTATAATCCTAGTGCTGAGGAGGCTAAGACAGGAGGATCACTACGAGTCCACAACTGCATAGTGAGATCCTGTACCAAATCAATCAATCAAGCCACAGCACCCAGACAGGTGCCAAGGGGCGATCCCAGCTCCTAAGGGGCCACTAGTTAGGTGCGGTGTTTCAATCCAGGCTCTACCACTACCATCTGTGCTCACACTGTGTAGACTGGGGCTCGTCACTAGCCTCCTGTGCAGATGAGATGTGTGAGCCACAGAGCATCACACCAAAGCCTGACGCAAACAGGCCGTCACTGCAGCAGAGGACAAAACAGTCACTGGCAACGCCATTACTGCTCAGGGACCCGGCATGCCAGCGTCAGATCTGCACTGCAGACGTCTGTGGCTGCATTCCCTGTCAAAGCCCAGGCCAGGCTCCTGCCCACTTTCCTTCATTTCTGCTCCTAGATTTTGCTAACAGCTGTACCCACGATCACGTGCAGCACTATGACTCTCCAGCCAATCAGAGGGCCCCACGAGACTCGGGACACTGACATACACCTATGCTGATGATGTCCTTGGTATTGTGACATCAGAGCACAACACCCTGCTCAGGTCAGGAATGGCACTGGAGTAAACACTCCAGCTGCACTGCCAGCCCGAAGTATAGCTACACAAGAGCACACAGTGTAATACCTGATGACGATTCCAGCCAGCCTCGGGCTTTGCGCTTCATAACTGACTTAACAGCTCTTTCGAGGCAGGGCATGGGGGTGCACGCCTGTACTCCAGCCCTCCAGAGGCCGAGGCAGGACTGCCACAAGCTCGAGGCCAGCCTGGCTGCACAGTGAGTTCAAAACCAGCTTGAACTACATAGCAAGACCCTGTGGGGAAAAAAAAAAAAGAGTACTCTTTCTACTGCGAGGTGTGCGTGAGACAGCATGCCCTGCTGCCTGGCTGTGGGCTCACACATCAAGAGCCCATCGAGTGACTGGCCCACGCCATCTAGGTGTGCTCCAGAACACTCCAGGACACTTCCAAACCTAATGAGGCACACGTGGAGCACTGGGCACCAAGCAGGGCTGCTGCAGCAACTCGCAGCTGTCACGCGTGTCTGCACGCATGTTCCACATGCTTCACAATCGCCTGTGACAGTGGGGCCTGACAGCTCAGCCAGAGACCCTTAAGTCACATGTCACCAGGAGCAGGACACGGGAGTCTGCACCAGCAGAGTCCCAGTCACTGCCATCTCCCAACAGCATGCTAGGCCGGACCAGCACTGACACACGTCTGAAAAGCAGGCCAGCCCGAGGGCCAGGCAGACTCAGGCCTGCTGGTGCCCAAGTGTGTGCATCTGAGGGAATCGGGGAGGAGCACTGCCAACCCGGCGCACCCTCAAATGCAACACACAGCCTGGATGCGGGTGCTGCTCCCGTGTGCTCGGGGTCGCCTGTGTGCATGATTCTGCCAAGAGGACACTTGTCAGCCAAGACTGGACTGGCCACAGGCTGCATGCATGGATTACACACGGAATGATCACAAAGGCCTGTACTTAAAAAAAAAAAAAAAGTTTATTTTCATCCTTCCTAGAGGAATACAGATCTGAATGAAGATACTCATTCCATAAATACAGCAGCAGCAAAACCTTGGCCAGCATCCTCTGCCCCAGCCGAGGTACAGCGGCACGCCAGAGCGCGCTGCGTGCATCTGCTTCTGCAGAGCCTGGTGCGTGTGCTCCCACGGTGGCTATGAAGCCCCTGTGCCTTCCACACCCTCGGGCACCCTGCGTTTGCCAGGGCAGTTCCCCGCACAGCTCACCGGGAGGGCCCAGCCCCCCAGGGTACCCGCCCGGGAGATGCCATGCTCTGACTTGGGAACACGCCAACTGTGGCGAGATCCTTCCCATGGGGCACAAAGGCCATGCCTCCCTTCCTTCCTGTGGAACAGAGAGCACCTGGTGCGGAGACAGGCGGGCGCTCGTCTGGGTGCTCTGGGCTCTGCGTCCCTGTCATCGGCCGTGCTTTACTAGAGATGGCCAGGCCTGCCAAGCCCCTCAGGCGCCAGCATCCTCCTCTCCCACCATCTGTGCCCACTGACTGGCCGCTCCCTTCTCTGGCTGCCCCCGATACCTGCTGGAAACTCTGACATCAGGCCTGCCTGGACTCTCCAGTGGCCAAGGCAGGCTGCACTGGGAACAGCTCCAGCCCGCGAGTGATGGACAGCGGCGCACACTCAGGCGATGCCCCAGGCCCCTGGCGGTGCACATCAGCCACAGCATGCATGCAAGAGCCAGCCCCAAGGACTGCGGGCGGGGAGCACGAGTAGGATGTCACCTACCCCGGGCAGGAGGGGGAAGGATGCAGACTACAAACTAACTGTGACTGGCTTGGGCAGAGGGCCTCCTGCGCGCAGGCATAAACCCATCTCCCAGATTGTCATGGAAATAAAAGAACCTCAAAAAAAGCCGGCCCTTGCCCACCATCGCCAGAATCGGCATGCCCACCTTCCTCCCCGTCTGCTAGTGTTTTTCCCAGAGACTCTTCCTAAGGGCCACCTCCACTCCTCAGCCGTTGGGACTGCTGGCTGGAAGGAAACCAGAGACCGTTTTGTAAGACCACCCCCGTGAGGGCGGCTGGCCACGCCATTACTTGTGTGTGGGGAGAGGCTCGTCTGCCGGGTACAGCGCGCCGCTCACCCTGCAGCCCTCCGTTCCCACGGGGTCCGCCAGGTCCTCCTCCTCGGAGTCCTCCTCCTCGTCCTCAGGGGCGGAGGAGCCGGAGGCCGGCCCCTTGCAGGTCTTCAGGTGGCGGGTGAGGTGGTACTTGGTCAGGTAGGCCTTCGTGCACTTCTCACACACGTAGTCGCGTTTCCCTTCATGTGAATTCAGATGTTTCTTCAGGTGGTTTGTCCTCAAGAACAGCTTGTCACACTTGGGACATTTGATCTGCCGCTCTCTATGGGAACGAAGAGAAGTGTTTTTACAGAGGCCACAGCTCGCCTGGTGCTGGGCTTGTGTGGTGCCAGTGGGTGCCCTCCCTGCTGCAGTGTTGCCTGCCACAGGCCGCCGCCCCCCTCACAGCTGTCTGTAGTGTCCACGAACCCGACAGGGCAGCCCACGCTGTGGGAGACCACAAGCTGTGTCCTGAGTCAGGCGGTGCAGAGCACTGGCCACGGCTTCTGGACAGTCGGAGCTGAGCCCACAGAGCTCCGTCCCAGGGCCAAGTTAATGCCACAAACTGAGCATCAACGGGGCGAGGCCCTCGGAGCCTGTCAGAGGCTGTGAGCCTCACATGCTGTGCCGGGGGACACACGAGCCAAGCAGGCGCTGAAGCAGCGTGACTCAAGGCCCTCTCCGCAGCTCCCACCCACTAGCTCTCCACAGCGCTCCCCCAACTGGCACACGGCCAGCCTCCACCATGCCTGCTGGGCAGGACCCTCGGGGCAAGGCTCTGTCCTCCGCCCCCATGAGGGAAGGAGAGGGCCAGTGATGCAGGAAGGCAGGCGCAGACTCCTGCTGCCCAGCGTCCTGGGCCATGGGCAGCAGATGTCACCAGTGCACCCAGGGCCTCCGCCACAGCTGCAGGGTCCTCGTCCTCGCCACACCACCCAGAGCTGGGGCCATCCAGCGTGGCTGCTCTGCTCCCCGGCAGGACCACTTCCGACACCTGTCTCCACACTGGGTCCCTCCTCTACCCCTCTGTGTTCACTGGCCAGAATGACCTCCATGTCACCACAATAGCACCCCTTCCCTGAGAGTCCCAGTGCCTGTGTGCCCGCACACCGCAGGACACAGCACTGCTGACCACCCACACTCTTCTCAGATGCCACCGGGCCCACTGCGCGCGCGCTGCTCTGCCTCGGGAGCCACACTCTCCGGGCACTTCCACACCTGCTTCTGCCCACACCACCCGGAACCAGTCCTGCCTCGGTGCCCACTCCACCTGACAGTACCCTGCTTCTCCCCTCAGGGCAGCCCAGAGCAGCAAGCACTTTGCGGGCCCTGTGTTCAGAGCATGGCCAGTGTGTCCTTCATTGATCCTGGGACAAGGCCAGGGTCTTTCTTCCATGTCTGTACCACCTAGCACCAGAAGTAATCTTTTAAATTGTTAATAAATGACTTTTTGTTTTGAAAACATGGATGAAATAGAAGAAATGACAGCAGCAAAGCAAAATCACCCAGGGTAAGACCAAGCCCTCCGCGTGGGCACGCCGAGGCCAGACTTACTGTGTGTGGATGAGCACATGCTGCTTGAGGTCCTGCCTCCGCATGAAGAGCTTGTCGCAGTAGTCACACTTGAGGTTCTTCTCCCCGGTGTGGATGACCATGTGGGACTCCAGGTGCGCCTTCTGGGTGAAGGACTTGTCGCAGAGAGTGCACCGGTAGTTCTTCTGGCCTGCAACGAGCCCAAAACCGCGTAATGCAAATCACTCAGCCCTCTCAAGACCAGCAGGCACGGGCCAGGGATACTGCTCAGTGGTGCCCCGCTCAGAGCCACCAGGTCTGTGTTCCACAGCTACTAAAGCGCTCCTCCTCCTAGGGCCTCACCTGGATAGCAGGGGCTCATACTACAGGGCTGACGGGAGGTTCTGAACCTGGGTGAAAAAAACACCTGTAATCTTAGTGCTTCACCTAAAAGAAAAACTCATTAACTCCAGCCCTTCTCTATGCACCTATTTTTATGAATACCTTTTGTACTGCTGGGTCTCTGCTAAACATGGAAGATGACCTCATGACCCAGAAATGAAGTTAAATCCCTCCAAGAAGGCGTAATCAGATTCGTCTAAGTCAGGGCGGCAAAGCTTTGCATGGAGGCCGCAGGGCCAATACTACAGGCCATGTGCTTCCTGCTGCAGCTACTCAGTTGTAACACAAAGGGTGAGAAAGAGAAAGCCTTCTGACACTCAGAGAGCAAATGACCCAACTAAGGCAGCTAAACCCTTTGCTGTTCTCTAGCGTGTATGAACAAAGCAAGAGTCACAAAGAGGCTGCTCTGCCCGGAGGTCAGGACACAGACCCGCAAAGCCGAACATAGGCTGCACTGAGCACCGTTCTGAGGGAGACTGCCCAGCCGGCGGCCAGCCCCACTCCAGCAGGAGCCCAGGCCATGGTGCAACACGTGGATGGCACAGCCGGCTGCACTTGTCTCCTGGAGGGGTAGTGAAGAGAGCTTAGCAGGAGCCACAACTCGGAGGGACTCGGTTACCCACCTACTTCCTATCTCCACTCCGCCTGCAAAGCTTTATGAATGACTGCAATTTCTAAATGCTACAGAAACTCCACTCTGGGGCTAGAGGTGCAGCTCCATGGCAGGGCACCCGTGTAATGTGTGTAAGGGCCTAGGCTCCTGCGTGAGCCCCCCGCCACGTGCTGCAGCATGCGCGCGCGCACGCCCCCTTCCGACAGCTTGACCCAGCTTACCCGTGTGTATCTTGAGGTGGGTCCTCAGGTTGCTGGGGTCACTGAAAGCCTTGCTACAGAAATCACACTTGTGGGGCTTCACCCCCATGTGGCCCATGAAGTGGACATGCAGCTTGGAGGGGGAGATGAAGGCCTGTGGGCACACGGAGCACTTCCACTTCCTCTCTTTGCCGTGGCCGGGCCCGTGGCCACCCTGGCCCTGGCTAGGGAGGTGGCCGTGGATGTGGCTGGTCAGATGGGCCTTGAGCTCAGTGTAGGAGCCGCACTCCTTCCCGCAGTTACAGAGGTGCACGTCTGGGTGCTCAGGAACACCTTTAAAATAAATCACTCAGGGTCTCCTGGACTTACACTGCAAAACTGACCTTGATACTGATCATCATTGCTAGCAATCTTTTCTTCTATCAAAATTTCCAGCTTGCCCACTCCCTATGAAATTAAAATGTCTGTGCCAGACAGTTTTCACCATTTAAAATACCACACTGGTCACATAAAGAATACACGGTAATTAGTGGAGGAGCACGTCTCACTCCTGGAGAGCACATCAGATTCATGGTTCATGCGAACTCTTGAACATCGCTAGTCAAAAACAGTGAGAAAAGAAGGCCTACGTTCACTACCCCGAAGTAGGGGCTCTGGTGACCTCCAGAACATCAGCCTCGGCACTGGCAGCCCAGAAAGGAGCCTCAGGAGCTCCAGCCTGACACATCAAGGTCACACCACAAAAGCGAGTCTTACGTGAATGCCACTTGGTTACTAACACTCAGCTTGTGAACACCACGGGTTCTGACATCTCAAACACACAAGTAAAGCTTGTTTTTATGTACACAAAAGTGCCCAACTTACTTAAACGGCCATGAAAATGACTGCCAAAACTGTCCTTCTGGCCCCTGGCATTTCAGGGCAGGTCTGTGACAAGCCTTACAAACTCACCCATCTGCTGAGCGTAGTCCCGGCTGTAATAGAAAAGCAGCTCGTTTTCAGGAGGGATGTCTTGCGAGGTGCAGAAGTAGATTTTGCCATCATGGGGATAAGCCACCAAATTCTGTTCTTCCCGATTCCTGAGTTAGCACAGTGAACTAGTTAAGCACATTAATTTTTTTTTTTTAAGAGACAGGGTCTAATATTGCTGGGCCAGCCCCACTGTGGACTCTAGGGACCCTCATGCATAGGCATCCCGAAGAGGTGGGACCAAGGGTATTTGTCTCCACGTAACAAAGCAAACAATTGTGCCCCAGTGCTGGGGACCAAGCCCGAGTGCACACCAGGCAAGTGTTCTACAACTGAGCTACATCCCCAGCCCTTAAGCAGATCCGTTCTAAATGTATACTTAAAAATACTGTATTCTCTGTAGCAAGTTCTTTTTTTTTTTTTTTTTGGCGGAACCAGGGATTGAACTCAGACCCTTGTGCTTGCCAGGGAAGCGCTTAGTCCACTGAGCCATCTCCCCGGCCCCCTGTAGCAAGTTCTACACAGAAGCTGAGACAGAACCATCTAGGGAGGTCGTTTTCAAAAGTCCCTATTCTCACTATTTAAGAGGGACTTGTAGAGAAACAGATACTTTTTTCAGTACCGGGAACTGAACCCAGGGACCTACATGCCAGCTCTTTAAATTCTGCGACAGAGTCAGCTACCTCACTAAGCTGCCCAGGCAAGGCGCAAACGTGCAGTCCTCCCGCTCGGCCGCCGCAGAGCTGGGATCGCAGGAGTGTGCCCACCAGGCTGAGAAGCACAATCCCTACTTTAGGACTTACCTGATACCCTTCATAATTACTTCAAGTCAGAAACACTAGCCTATTACTATAGCAAAAGGAGTAAATACAATGTTTACAAAAGCATTCTGACAAACAGACTGCTAGCTAGTAAGAATTAACCACCGTTACTGCTTGAAGAGCTGACCGAGAGCCAGCAGGAGCCAGCAGGAGATGGCACGCCGACTCACAGCCCCAGCAGCAGCCACCCCGAGGGGAGCCGCCGCAGCCTTGGGCTTTAAGCATGTGCCCCATCGGGAGATCCGACGGCAGCTCCTCGTTCTCCTTTATCCGCGGCCACCCTCACCTGGCTCTGCGCACAAACATCATCCAGTTGCATTCGTTTTCGTCAGTTGTGATGATGCAGAACTCCAGGACGCCGCTGTGATAGATCTGCAGAGAGAACAGACACGCGTCGGGCTGCACGGCTGCCTGCCTGCCTGCTCTGCACTTAGCCTTTCCCACCCGCCAGCCTAGCACACAGCGAGCCCACCAGAGGCCTCCAGCCTCTGTCTGTGCACAGAGGACCAGGCTCTGGGTCTGGCACTCTTCACCAGAGAACATGGAGACCAGCCCACAGGACCGGCTGTCCCCCCGGGTGGAGCTGCAGCCCTCGTCCCTCTTCCAGGCGGCCCAGCACGGCAGCGTCCTCTCTGGGAGGCCACAGCCCAAGTCCCGAGGGGCGTCTACCTTTCCACACACCGACTGTCTCCCCGCTTCATTCCCAAGCCCACGGGGCATCCGTGGCAGCACGGTACAGGAATCGCAGTTTATACCAAAACTTTGCATTCACACTCAAAAACTAGAGAAATAATTTTAGTTTGTAACTCTAGAGTTGTTTCCCCAGGAAAATATTTGTAAGGTTTCAAATAAAACTAAGATTTTTATAAAAAGTCCATAGCTGCAACAGCCAGAGGAAATTAGAGGGCACAAACATGATTAAAGCCCTCAGACTCTCTCCAAAGGGAGACCAGAACAGACTCTGCTCCACTCGCCCGATGGCTGGTGCATAACCTAGCTTCCAAGAGTTGCAAGAGGCTGTGCCATTCAACCAGCGACTGTCAGGCGAACGCCTGCGTCGGCTCCGGCGAGTCTGACTTTCTGATACTTGAATCAGAGAAGTTTCCTCACCACTGACCTTCCAGATGTGGTTAACAGCCTTATCTGTCCACTCGGCCACCTCCATGGAGTGACTCTGCTGACCAATCAGAGGCCCAAAGCACGTCCGCACGGGAATGGTCTCTCCGGTCCACACACCTGTCAGCAAAAGATAGCAACACACGGTGATGAGCAACTCACAGGACACAGAACCTCAGCCACCGGAGCCTCGGAGCTACTGCTGGGCTGTGGCTGGGGTCCTGGCCTGACACAGCCATGAGGAGATTAAATGCAGCCTGCGATGAAGGCAGAGCAAGCAGCAGCATCAGAGGCTCCTGCCTCACTGAACACACAAGGAACCTGACCACGTCCCTCCCAATGCCTCAGGATACGAGGAACTGAAAACATTATCCCATTATAAAAATATAAACCAAGTGTTACACACTAGAACTAACTGGCCAAACCTTTGGTGCTTAAAGCTCTGCTCTATTATTATCTAAGATGTTTTAAAGACCCAAAGCTGCAGCTGAAAGAACAATAAACCCAAGTGCTATGCATTCAAAGAAGTGCCGAGGGTCACTCAGGAGCCAGTTACATTTACACCCATGAAGATGCTCTGCTAGCTGACAACGCTCATTCCACCCTCCTAAGGAGAACCAGACAATTTACAGAGATGTGATCTAAACACAGCTTTGGTGCCACACGATTCTCAGTGGTGACTTCTCCATGTTTTAGTAAAAGAAACTAAATTCCAAAGAGCGTGTCGTTAGGACAATTGCTAGTGGGGGATGGTGCTGTGAATAAAAGCCAGGTCTTCAAAGGCTTGGACCATGACTCTCTTTTCAGTTCTGATTCCATGAAGGCGGAGGTTTCCCAATAAAGTTTTCCATTTGATTTGTTACTGTCACCACCAGACAAAACAGCTACGGCCTGAAAGCATAAATCTTAAGCCATAAATTGATTTCTGGGTCAACTAAATAATTGCTCGGCTATAAATATCCACTTCACAACTCCACCCTACAAAGGCAGCAAAGACTTGGTGTGGGGTTTTATGGTTCCAAGATTCTTACCGATGTCCGCTCCCACGACTGACTGGCGGAGAACAAGCTGCTTCGGGAGAGACAGCCTTGCTCTACTCTCTATCGGAGAATCGGGAACAAAAGTCAGCGGTCCGTGATCGGGGCAGTCAGAGGGGTAGGCTCGGTCACACAGCGTGCACCCTGCGGACAGCAGACGCAATGCACACAAAGGGGCGTGGTTCACACAGGCACAGCTCCAGCCCGGCGCATCACTTAGATGCCACTTACTGAGGTGTAAGCCGGGCTCTGCTGCAGAAGCTGTCAGACAGCCACTTCCTACCACCAGGCGCAGCTACTTCTACATCCCTCTTCGGACTTCAGTAAGGACTATCTTCTGATTCAACAGGACAAACGTCCTACTCAGTGCGTCTAGGGGCTCGCGCACAGAGCAGCAGAAGGGGCCGCGGATGGAGCGCAGCAGGGCGGTCGCCTCGCGCGAGTAAGACTGGCTGGACCCCACCACACAGAAGAATTACAGAATTTTAAACAGAACACCGTGCTGCCTCAACAATGTAGTATAGCGACAATTAAGCAGACAAGCAGTACTGCAGATGTGCAGAGTGACTGAAATATACAGTGCGCGCTTAAAGAGTTTCTATTACAGTACAAGACACACTGCCGTGAAGCCCCTAAAATCCTCCCCTTGGTCCAAACACACTCGCCATTCTTGCCACTTTCTTCCCTCCTAAGTCCTGGGAGTTAACTCAGGACCTGCGCTTGCCAGGCGGGTGCTTGTGGCCTGCGCTACATCCCCAGCCCCCTCGCGCTTTCTGAAGCCGTTCTGGAAGCCCTCCGCCCTGGTGCCTTTAGTTGTATGTGGCTGCTTTAGTACCCTGAACCAGCTTAAAACATTTACCTTTCCACGTCAGTTTGACTTAGAGGAAGAGCTGGCAGTCACATGGTGCCAGAGCTGGTGACTGAAGAGGCTGGCATGTTCTTAAGAGCCTGCCTTGTGGCTGGCTGGATCTCAGCAACAGTGGTCACCGGATTTCTGGTGTCACCGTAAAGACACTTACGAAAGAGGACTTGCACATCTGCTTCACAGGGTGGCAAGAATGACGGTGGAGGGAGTACTGTGAGGACCCCTCATGGCAATGTTCCTTTTACCATTATCAATTTAAAAAATATATATATTTATTTAGTACAGGGTCCCACTACGCAGCTTGGACTCATAGTGATCCTCTTGCCTTAGCCTCCCCAGCGCTGGGATCACAGGCGCGTGCTACCATGCTGGGTTATGGTGGCTGGCACAGATCGAGGGCTGGCACAACATGTGGTACTGGGGATTGAACCTGGGCCCTCGCGCTTGCCAGGCAGGTGCTTAGACCGCTGAGCGATCTCCCCAGCCCCCACTATGAATTCTGTAACTTAAACATTCACTATATACTGTGACCATCTTCATATGGCATATCCTAGAGTACAAGAGAGCACACTCTGAACTGAGAGAGGACCCTGTGTTGAAATGCAAGTCGTGCGGAACAGAAATACTGGCGACTTTATAGGACAGGAGTCAGAACCCGCCGGATACTGGCCCTGCTTAACTCCCTACAACCAAAGGTCAACCCGCTTTTGATGACATATTCTAGAGATAAAAATTTTGAGGCCTGCCCCTTTGGAGCACATGCTAAACCTCCAAAAATGTTTTTGGATTTTTGGGCATCCTCCAAAAATCTTTTGCTCTGTTCTTTCCACTTGCTCTCTGTGAAGGGAAGAATTCCTGTTAGTCACTGACGTGGCTCACACTTTCCAAATCTGAACAGAAGAGCTCAAGGGCTTCCTCGGAGATACACAAAGAGCCCATAAGTACAGGGAGCGCTGGAGCACAACCTTAGAAGAGCGGCAGAAGTCACAGGCGATGCAACTTCACGCCCCTCGGATGGCTACATCCAAACAGAAAAAAATCTAAATGTCACCAAAGACATGGAGAAACTGGAATTGCTGCAGACTGCTAGAAATGAGTGCACAAGGGCCTTGGCCTGGGAGAAGTGCAGTTCCCAAGAGGTTACACATATGCACTGTGCCCCACAAACGTGTACTATCACTGTGTGTCAAAACCCTTCTGTGTGCTAGGACCTGAACCAGACACTGCACCGCACTCTAGCCCAGGGCCACCCTCTACCTCAGGGCTGCGCTCAGTGCAAATTTATAAAGCTGACACAAGCAAGTCTGGTCCTGAAGGTGTATCAAGAACTAAAAGCGGAGCGAGCTGGGAGGAAGGTGAAGATGGCGGGAGCCTGGGCTCTGGCTTGGGGTTTCCGGTAGCTGCAAAGCACAGCTCGGCAGGCGGTGCCGCTGGGGGCACGGACAGCCTCCCACATTACCAAGGACATGCTACCGGGCGCCTACCCCAGGACCCCAGAGGAACGGGCAGCCGCCGCCAAGAAGTATAATATGCGTGTGGAAGACTACGAGCCTTACCCGGATGAGGGCATGGGGCATGGAGACTACCCAAAGCTGCCTGACCGCTCACAGCATGAGAGGGATCCATGGTATGAATGGGACCACCCAGACCTGAGGCTGAACTGGGGTGAACCGATTCACTGGCATCTAGACATGTATATCCGGAACCGTGTAGACACATCTCCCACACCTGTTTCTTGGCATATCATGCGTAACCATCTCTTCGGCTTCGTGGCATTCATGCTTTTTATGTTCTGGATAGGGGAGATGTACCCCGGCTATCAGCCTGTGGGGCCGAAGCAGTATCCTTGTAATAATCTGTACCTAGAACGAGGTGGTGATCCCAGCAAAGAACCTCAGCCAGTGGTTCACTATGAGATCTGAGGTTTTTTGGACCGTTTTGCCCTTGAACAAAGGCTCCTCATTCCTAGAGATTTAATCTTAATGAAATGCTGAATAAAACTTAGTGATCTGGTGAAAAAAAAAAAAAAAGAACACTAAAAGCAACACACGCTCGTACAAAACATGCACAGCAACATTCACTTAAAATTATTCAATGCAGCCAACAAGCAGAAGGCACCAAATGCTATCAACTGGTAAGCGGGCAGGCAAAGCGGGAGGTGTTATCGTGATGGAGTGTTATGTGGCTATGAAGATGGACTGGGGCACTGACACTCGCGACATGTGAGTGACCTGAGGGAAGCCTGTCGGAGAAGGTGCACAGCATAGGACTCCGCCTTAAGAAGCGTCTGGCGGGGGCGACAAGAGGGAAGGAGCGAATGCTAATGAACACAAAGGAGGCTTCATTAAATGTTTCAGAACAGGGCTGATGATCGCAGAATTTCTGACTACTGAAAACCACTAAAATGCACACTTTTGAATATGCAAGTAAACTATCTCAACTAGCAGGCCTTACATGGATTAAATGCTTTCATGAAATCTCAGACCCGAGATGGATGAGACAGCTGACACAGAGGCCCTCGCTGGCTCGTGGGCGCTGGCCATCCCGCCCCTGACCTGCTGGCTGAGTGTGGAAGCCCTTCCTCTGCTGCTCGGTCCTGGCCTCGCTGGTCCGCCCTCCTGCACTGACCTGCAGCTCAGACCACATCCACGTCCTGGCCATGCTGAGGAGCCTGCACACATCCAGTCTGACAGCCCAGACGCTCGTCAGGCACCTTCCAGGGGCTGCATCCGCCCGTGTGTCACCATCGCCCCAAAGCACTGTCTCCCCTCCACCGGTCACCAGAAGCCTGGGGTCCACCTTACTGGCCTACCACACGTCTCTTGGCAGCCCACAAGCGCCGAGCTCTCTGTGAAGGTCCCTCCCTTTTGTGACCCCACCAGCTCTCCTCCAGGGCAGACATGGGCACCTCTCACACGCGCACATCTCCTCGGCACACCTGCCCTGCAGCCTGACACCACCCAAACTGCAGCAGCAGCCCCCACTCCAAAGCCCGGGCGGGCCCTCGGAGACCCTTCCTGCTCGCTCGGCTGCCCTCCTCTGCATCAGCAGTCCCCCACGCACACACGCGAGCAACTCAGTGCTAGGGACTCACAGGCGCCCCCACGCTGCTTCCTGACTCTCCAGGCCTACATGCCCCCTCTCAAAGGCCTGGGCACACCAAGGCCCCAAAGCCTCCCCAGCCGCGCACTGTCAGCGTGCGCTCGGCCGTCTCTGCACCTGCGCTGTGGCACGGACCTGGCAGACCTGCCCGTGCTGCCCGACAGCCCAGGCTGTCTCTGCTGACTGCTCCAGGGTGGCACGGAGGCTGGCAGACAGTAAGCAGGAATGACCCCTGCAGTGGCACCAAATCAACCGGTTCTACACTGCTCTGTGTTGCTGCTCAATAAAAAGAACTTTTACGTGATAACGTACGTGGAATCTGAGCAAAGACCAAAACCAAACCCTACATTTATATCCGCCACGTTTTCCACAGAGTTGTAAAAATGGTTGTTTTTCTTCTGGCTTTATGGTAAAAGCACGCAAGGCACGTGACACAAGTTAACCTTACGTTCACCCCTGAAGTCTCTACCTGGGGAACCTTGGGGAACAACCTGAAGATTCGGGCAAAATAAATATGAAACAAAAAATGACTGTTTCTCCTCTTCGGGAGGATACTGTGGCAGCCACTGAAATCTGCACATACTATCTAGCTTCCTGGAGGACAAGGCCCTCCTCCTGAAGAAACAGCAATACAAACACAAAGCTTTCCACAGCCAACTTGCCAGGCTTCCTAACCTATGCCAGAGCTTGCGACTAACCCTGTCAGAGAGAATGCCTTTTTCGACCAATACTCCAAAAGAGAAGAGCTAAGCACACTCACAAATTGTAAACAAGGTTGCCATGTTCTCCTTGTTAGAGTTAGACTCTTCCATTTGCAGTGAAGGCGGTACAAAAGAAAGACTGTCTGAAGACACATCCACGTGACCTGTCCCCATAGCAACCTCCTGGGTGATGGAGGAGACAGCCACAGGCTCAAGGCTGAGGCCAACTTCATGGAGGGACACCGATTCCAGGGAGGCGAGGTTATGTGAGGTAGACAGCGCCACGCTGACAGAGTTGGTGCTCATGGCCACGGTGTGGATGGGGTCACTGAGGGTGTTGTCGGGCAGCCCGCTCACCCGGCCAGCAATGTGGTCTGCCTCCATGACCACGGGCAGCTCGAGGCCACTGCTGTGAATGGGGAGCACACCGCCGTGTCCCACGGTGTCTGTGGCAAGGTTGCTGTTCACAGAATCCACAGACAGTGGCTCGTGATTTCGGGAGCCATTTGGGATTTGGGAATGCTCGCCGGCAACGCCGTCCATGGTGAGCTCCTCTGCCATCCCATCCGTGGAGAGTGGGCTGGTGACCCTGGAAACGTTCTCCATGGTGATTGTGGTGTCCAAGGCCACCTCATGGCCATCGCTGGGATGCAGACTCTGGGCACCATGCGTGTTCACAGGACGGGAGTCCATTGGGACAATGCCCGGTTCCAACCCGACACTTGCACTGGACTGATAGGGATCCAGAGCCGAGGCATTGCTGCTGATGGACAGGGCCGCGTTGCCATCGACACTGATGGAGTTGGGGTGGATGTACTGAGGCGGCGGCCTATCCGCTAGGTAGGACAAGATGCCTGAGAAGAGAAAACATGACACGCCAGAGACTGTTTAGTATAATGTTAAATAGAAGAAGCCTCAAGTGGGCTACTGCCTCCTCACGCGAGCCCAGCCTGCCCTCTCAGGCAGTGATGGCAAACGAACGTGTAGTGCTTCCAGGGTGTATTTTATTTTTATTTTGCTTCCCTTTTTACTCAGCCCAAACTCACCTCAGAGCTCATTTTTCCCTATGCTGCTTTTTTTTGGCAGAAACAGGGGGTGGAATTCAGGCCCTTGTGCTTGCCAGGGAAGCACACTTAATTCTACTGAGCCATCACCCCGGCCCATGTTTCTGCTTTTCTTTCACACCTTCAATAAATGTGAAGCTTTGTCATCAGTAAAAAAACAAGTGCTAGCAGCTATTTTCCTTATAAATATAAATTAATCTACTTCTAATGAATATTTACACAAATAACATACATACACCCCATTTGAATTTTTCCTGTAAAATTCATTTCCTAGAAACTGTAGATGCCTTTGAAGACAACTGGAACCAATCATTTAAATGCTGTCTTTAACATTCTCGCGACTACAGTTCGTGAGTCCTAACACCTCACACTCTGCTCAGTAAGAAATAGCGAAGAGTCCAGCCGAGGCCTCGAGCCCGCCAGGTGACACTAACCATGGAGCCACATCCCCAACCCAAGCACTCTATCTCTGAGTCACACTCAACTCAAAACATTTTTAAAACACGTTGCCAGGTGCACTGGTGGCTGTTTATACTCCAGCACTTTGGAGACTAAGGAAGGGACCGTCAGTTCGAGGCAGCCTGGACTACATAAGAGGACGCCATCTCGAAAGCATTTCTCTAAGTGTAGATCTGTGCTAGAAGGACGCGGCAGAATGTCAGCTGGTACGCGGGCAGTGCAAGAATCCATCACTACAAGCTCTTTGGGGAGTATAGTGACCACCTGAAATGTCATCTTCTCGCATGAAATTCTGCTTATGGCAACCTTCCCGAAAATTTTTCAGTACCACACACAAGCATTCACATCAATTACAATACTAATAGAAGCCTGGAAAAACCATCCTGCCCCACAGTCAAGATTGATGATGATAATCCATCAAAGATCCACTGCACAGAGGTCATGCACCGTTAAGACAATTATGAGAAGGACATAACAGCAGTGGGGCAAGTGCAGTGAAAAAGTAAAAAGTATACAGAAAGTATGGTCTTAAATGTGAAAAATAATAAAATATCTACATGCCTCCCCAAAAAAGCACACCGAAAAGATGTGAGGGACGTGGAGTGGTTCTCGTTTCTCCCTATTTGCTGTGTATTCAGAAGTGAGCACATAATACTCTTATAACAAAAAAAAAAAAAAAATTAAATAAACTTCAAAAAGCATAACCCTGCGTCAGGACGCGTGGCTGGTAAAGTCCACTGCATGATTAGAAGCCCTGGGCACGGAGGTGCTGGGGGAGAGACGGCAGGTGCACGCAGAGGACGGCGCACGGGGATAAGGGTGGCGACGAGAAAGGCGGCCCTCAAGCCAGAGCAGGGCTGCTGCCGCCGCCCGCCCCACACCCAACGCCTCCCAACTCACCAGGGAGGATGGTCCTGAAGTAGCTGCTCTCCAGGGGAGGGTATGGCGGCGGGGGGAGGGCGTAGCTTCTCTCGGGCAACCCACACATCACCCCACGGTCCCCAATTCCCATCGGAAGCATCAGAGACAAAGCAGAAGGCAGGGAGCTCAGGGACGGACCCAGGTTCGGAATCGCCACTGGCAGACCTACAAAACAAGTTTTTTTAATTAAAAGAAAATACTTAAAAATTCTCTCTGTCGCTAAGGCTAGACTTCTTAAAAGGGTTTCTTCCACAGGTGACACTCTCACCTCAGCAGCCCCTGCAGTAGCACGTCTGGAAACACGAGCACTCGAGTTACTTAAGAGGCCAACCTGACCCTCCAGTTGTCTGGATTGCTTTTAAGTACCACATTTAATTTACAACTGAAAACTTAGTTTAAATAATAAATAAGGAAAACTATATAGAGAGCAAAAATGGAAAGAAATACAAACTATGCACATGGTGGTCTGTGGTTGTCTGGACTGGTTTTGGTTTTTACTTGATTATATTTTCCACTCTACGGAGTAAGAATGTTTCATTTTGTAAAAATCTCACAGATCTGCTTCTACTTCGGAAAAGTCTACTGAAAGTGTAAAACTGCACGTGGACACTTCCACACAGTCTCGCGCACAGTCTGTGCTACACGGCCCATACAGAACGGAAACCGCGATGTCCCCACCCGCAGGGAAGTGAAAGGCCTGCACAGAGGAGTGTCACCCTGAACGTGCAGCTTGAGCAGCGCTGTGTGGCCATTTCTGCATCAGCCAATGCTGTCAAGCCACTTTTTCTTAATAAGAGTCTACCAAAGGAACGCTTGCCCAGGAGACACACAGATGGGCTCACAACTCATACATTTCTGTATTTCTTTATTGGACACTTCACAAAAGGAATGTAAGCAGGGATTAGTTTCGATGAATCTTAACTCAATTGCTTCACTTTACTAATAAAGAGGCAATTCTCTATGGAAAAACTTGTAAACACCTCCCACTTATTTAAAGTACTCCCAAATATAACCCCTATTTTGATAAGGTCCAATTCGAGACAATGCCATAGACCCTTTTTTATTTTGAGATGGGGTCTCAATGTGCAGTTGAGGCTGGCCTTGAACTCACAACATAGCCCAGGCTGGCCTCAACCTCACGGCAATGCTGCTGCCTCAGCCTCCCGAGCTGGAAGTGCACGATGGGCCGCCACGCCCACGTTTCACAGACTCTTACGAATCAGCAGCTTACTCATTCTTTTGCCATTTTAATATAAAAAGAAAATAAAACCATATGGAGAAGGTTGTCAAAGCACAGTGAAGGGCAGAGGGACTTCCGATGGGCTCTTCTCCCTGACAGCCATTTCTGGGCCTGCCTCTTTCCCAGAATGCCAGGCCCATAGATTTTCAATTTCAAATCCAGTAGAAAATAAGAGTCCAATTTCCCATGCTTTTTGGGAATTAAAAAGAAAGTGTGACTGTTCTCTTCCACTAACCCTGGGTGTTACGGTTTGTGTCTAGGTGTCCCCCAAAGCCTCCTGCAGTCAAGGGGCTGCATCTGGAATTTGTGATTGCCCATTGTGGGTGTGGATGCTGCACCTACCCTGGCAGGTAATTTGCATCATAATGTAAGGATGGGAGAGAAGCTAGCTAGGTGCCTGAGCTGCTGCCCCTCCCTTTACCCTCTCTTGCTCTTTTCCGCTGCCAGGAGAGGTTGCCCTCCGCCATGTGCCACTCTGCCTGGGAGTCAGCTGAGGATGGACTGAAACCTCCATTAACTGTGAGCTACGTAAGCCTTTCCTTCCTTCATATGTCGGGTATTTGTCCCAGCCATGGTGCCCATGTGTACCCAATGAATGCCAACCCCAAATGAAAGCACAGGCGATTACAGCTCTGCACAGAAGGCTCCTGACCCCAGAGATCACCAGAGAAATGCACAGGGAGGCACAAGCACGTGTGCTCCTGTGCAGCACACCCAGCATGGCCAGGTCCCACTGGTTTCTCCAGAGGTCCTCCTTGCTCCCTTCAGACTCATAACGCAGCGAGCTGGGGAAACTGCTTACCCGGGGCAGGGATGGCGCTGTGCGTGGGCGACGCAGCCAAGCCCAGGTGTCCTCCCGAGACAGGCAAGGCATTGCTCACAGAGGAGGAGGTCAACTGCTCCATCCCCACTGGGCTTAGGTTCATTTCATTCATCCTAGGAAAGAACACACAGTCTGTTGTGCCAAAAATGCCCCAATGACTCCTGTGAAGACAGGAGCGTCTGAAGCCACAGGGACAGGAAACGGGGCCTGCTATTCACGTGGATGTGCACAGTTCTCAGGGACAGTGTGTCACGCCTTTCCACAGATAAGAAATCTAGGAAGCACAGAGGATAACTCACAGTACTATCACATAGCAGAAAATCAGGCCGGCCGTACTCCAAACCACCCAAAGCAAGCCTGCAGTCCCAAAGCACATTAGCAATGACTGCTTGGTCTGTCACCCAGGCTTTTCTCTCCCAATATTACCATCTCTAACTGGCTTTAGACTGCAAACCAGTATTTTTTTTAGGCCGTGTAAGTGGCCCAGGCTGAGTTCAAACTTATGATCCTCCTGTCTCAGCCTACAAGTTAATATATCCACAGGCTCCACTCAAACCTCGGCAGGTATCTCGTAAGATTAAGCTCTCGGATATCAACTAAGTTACAAGATTAAGCTAGTACAGTCATTGCATAGAATAGGCAGTCTCAAATTTTCTTAGTTGGATTCAGTAATACACACTCGTCCCCCTTACTAGAAAGACAGCCAGCTATGGTGTACAGCAGATATGGTACACACCGTATGAAGAACAGTACTAATTAACAGCAGTAATGTATTACTCTACAAAAAAACATAAAACTCCCTGGAACCCAATTCAGTTACCTTAATTTTGAAAATTTCTGGGATGGAGTTGTTTTCAAACAGATTTCTGGTAACTTTTTTTATGTACTTAGTACAGAGTCTACAGGGTTTCACCACACAGCTCGGACTCACAGCGATCCTCCTGTTTTCAGCCTCCCAAGCACTGAGATTACAGCCCCACCACACCCAGCCTCAGCGTGGCCAGGGCTGGGCAGGCACAGCACACTGGATCGAACCTGGTCCCTAGGTCTGCCTAAGCAGGCCCTTTAATCCGCTCAGCTCTCTGGCCAGCCCTTCTGATAACTTTTTATAGCTGCACCCATAGCTGAAACACAATAGCTGGAGCTGCAACGACGCACAATAAAATGGTTACAATAATTTTTAGAAATAGAACTAAAAGTCTGTAGCTTCAACTCCCACCAGAAAATTACTGAATATTAGCCTATGTTCCCACCCAAAAGAAAAAATCGAAATGGTGTCCTTGGGTGCAACATTCCTGTACCTTCTCAAACCAGTTTCAACCAGAGTTTGGTGGAGAGGCTCAGCAAGACCTGGGCTTTGTTTTGAGTTCACGACAACCTGATGACCTCAGCAGCCACACACAAAGGTGACCAGGATTCCACAGCGAGGTCGGCGGGAGGGAGGGCAGCGGCCGTGCACGAGGGCCCTCCCGAGGCT